TGCTTTCAGGTACAGTTTAGCAAAATGTTATATGGCCATGTAAGAAACGAGAAACGTATTTATGATGATGACTTGATCGCAGCTATTGTGAGTAGTGGATTGGTTATAATATAGTATGTGTATTATGTAGACATATAGATATAAGGCTAAATGTATATAATGTATGAGGATTATATAGGATATAGTGAGGGTACGATTGGTTATAAAAATGATTATATCAGAATAAATGTAGTGTATTAGTATATAATAGGTAGTATCCGAGAATTATAGTATATATATAATATGAATATTATGATCAATGATAGATTGATATATATATATTCAATTATAATATACAATATGTCATATAAGCATAATTACATATTACATTGTACATATATGCGAGTATGACAGTATAGCTAACGATTAATGGGTTAATCTTATATATATATATATTATATAGATGACAGTTATAGAATAGTATATATATATGCTGCTGAAGTAATACTATAATATTATATTAACGTACGTTATGTTATACTAAGATGATATAAGTGTAGGATTTAATAGTAACTATATAATGCGCATATATGTATATATATGATGTTATTATGCGTAAAGTTAGTAGAACCTGGTGTATATGTATATGTATAATGTTGGTATAAGTGTGTTATTACGGTGTATATAGCTTAATAGTATTATTTATGTCATGACTATGGATAATCAGGACTTAGAAGTATATTAGGCTATATAAGAAAACTAATATGAAGTATGATATACATTATTATGTTGTATACATGTGAAAACTATAGATATATGCTACCAGCAGTGACGATACGTGGTTAGTATGTGACAATTCACACCACACCAACGACACACAGCGTACAGACACACAATCTGGCAAGATATGCGAATGAGAGAGGGTATCGTGTATTGTATGGGAACAGTGTCCACATCAGCACCACGCACACACACACACAGTCCACACACAAAAAACACAGAAGAGCTCGTCCAAATTATATCATCACACACAGCACACGATTGGATTTGTTAGATAGTACTGGCGATCAGTGACGAAGAGCACACAACACAGCATTGATATATAGATAGTGGCTATAATAGTATATGGTTCCTATACAGTGTATAATATAGTCTTATAGTCGTAGTACTAGGTTGTATATGTGTGATTGTAGATATATATGAGTATATTAATATATAGTATGTATATTATAATTATTTAGATAAATATATATGTTATTAGGTAGCTATTGATAGTGTAATGAAGATATAACTTATATATTATGTATGGTAAATATATAATAACAATATACAATATACTAGCATATTTAGACTATTATAATATTGTATAGATTATAGTAGTAATATATATAATATAATAGATAGGTATATATATATTAATATATGTATATAATATTATAGATATTGTATATAGTAATTATATTCATTATTAGATTAGCTATTATAATAGAATATCGACACACAACACATCAAGTGTACTACGCATACACATACACGTAACACGCATATCGCGATATGCATCACTAGCTATCACACACGCACACACAACACAGCGACGACTACGCATCGACACAGCGACTGAACAACGACACGCACACAGACGCGACACAACACACACACGATCGACTGAGTACGTGATGTTATGCGCAATAGTAGCATGCTGGGCGGGATTCAGCAGCACACAGACTGAACGACTACACAGCAAGGCACAGACGTGATGGATGGGAGGTCGTAGGACTATAGTACGGAGGATGTCTCGTAATTAGGTCCGTGTTAGTTATCAGCATAAATAGCTACACACTCGCTATAAGTGCGAGTCAGCATCGACATCATAGCGGAATAACGATATTATATAGTATATCTTAAAAGTTATATCATATGTATGTGCGAGTATGTGCTAATATTTATTATGATATATAGACATTATATATATAATATAACTGATATACTAGTGTATTATTATAAGCATATTGCGTATTACCTATATATAGTATATAGGACTAATATATGATATATATATACAGCACACACTTACATACGCTTATAAGTATTTTTTATGGAGTAGGAGGAAAGATATAGAGGTATAGATAGACATTGATTGGTAAAGGCCTTAACCTTGCACGAAGTATAACAGCATTTTTTAAGGTCAACTTCGGGTTCTTCAGTTTTATTTTATCAAAAACAATGCACAAAGACGAAACAATTATATATTTTGGAACATACAGTATGGCACTTTTTAGCCCTTGATTAGCATGCACCCTTTTTTTGAGTTCCAACACTTCAAAACTCTGCTGCTTTTTATTATTATTAATGGTGTTGCTTGACTTTCCTAAAGATTAGCTTAAGCATTAAGTTTTGAATTGTGTGCTTTTATGTATTTGTATGATTTTGTATTTCTTTTTTATTTATTTATTTTTTCAGAGAATTATTTCCACTATCATTCCTCTGACTTTCCTTTTATTTTGCATTGCACTGAGTATTTGTCGGTAGTATGCATGTGGGAGTCTGGTGCACTGTCTGTGTTTCAGTCGCGTTCTTTCTGCGGATGACCTGACCTCGGGCTACTCTAGTGGCGACCCAGATGCTGGAGACCTGACATCTACGACCTCAGAGACACGAATCTCCGCTCCCAGCTTGTTCCCAGCCTGGAGCCTGACCTCTGAGCCCAGAGAGTCGGCCAAAGGTGCGGCGAACTCAGAGCCTCTCGGCTTCCACCCTCAGCCTCCACCGCTCACAGAGGGCCGTGACCCGGAGGAGGAGCGCAGGGAGCAGGGAGCGGAGGAGTAGAGTCGGGTTGCAGGTCGTGGATCAGGAACCAGATGGATGACTTGGGTGCCCCTGGCCTCTTACCAGTAGCTCAGGTCACACCGAGCTGCTCTCCCCATCACGGGTCAAGTTTCAAGCGGTCGTCCTCTGGCCTAGGGAGTCATCAACAGCTCTAGTTGGATGTATTTGTATTTGTGGCAATTGTTCCCCTGGCAGCGTCCATTGGATGCTCAGAGCCTTGTGGTTTAGTAGTGGGTCTGTGTGAGAGTTTTGTGTTCGCTGGTGCTAAATGTGAATTTGTTTGGATCGATTATGCAACCACAAAGTTAATATTGCTCCCTACTGTCAATTATTACTCATATTTGTATAAGTGAATGTCTGGAATGCTTCAGATTAATGTTCCTGACTTGAGTACATAATTGCAATAGCCATCTTGTTTTAATGCTTTTTTGCATTCTCCATCTTTTCTGCCTTTCTTCTCATTCATATCTTCTTATTCTGGAACAGTAATCACATATTTTAGTCATCAGCTGCAGTCACATCATCAGATTAGTCATTACACTTTGAAAATAACATAATTTTTACCTGTAGTATACTTTTCCATCACTTAGTATTGTTGCTGTAACTGATTCATGTTTTTTTATGAAATTAAAAGAATAACACTTTTTCAGTGAGTTTTTGAAAGATTTTCTTGCAGTTTTTTGCTGCCATTATACTCTTGTTTACACCTTAAATCATTACACCTATCTGGATTGTAATCTTCCATATGCATTTTGCTCTCTATTCTTGTTTTGTACTTAGCAGTCAGTGTTAATAAAACTTGTAATATACAAGAAGGTTGCATGGTCATGTGAGAGAACCTAATTGTGCAGGATAATGAGGGCAGTTCCTTGGGCAGGCCAAAGTCAAAGATTTTTTTCTAGGATTTTTTTTTCTTGAGAATTTATTCCTGAAACAAAAAAGGTGTGTAACAGAATGTTCTGTCTGGAAAATTCAGCCTTTATTGCTTTAGTGATTTTTTCCTTCTCTCTCTTTGGCTGAGTTTGCTTTTATCTTGCTTTTGATTTGGTTTTGGGGCATTATTCTTTATAACATGGATGGGTATTAACTATTCTTTGATTAATTTGTCTATATATTATTCTTTTCTTTAATTTTTTTATGCACATACTTTTAAGTTGGTTAGCCAGTTTAAGCTTTTAGAAATGGGTGATGTTGCTTCAATGGTACAGAGCAAAGGTATTGGTCTAACCAAGGGTACTCCTAAGCATAAATATACAGAGGGTTTCACGTCATGCATAATTAACACTTCTTTCTCAAGACACCCAAGAACTTGGATTAAATCACCATAATCATCAACATTGTTCTACAGCAGTGCTTCACCATCCCTCAATGCCTTGCAGGGCGAAGAGCAGCTGACTACCAGGAATAACTTAGGTCCAAAGTGCATGAGAGATGTTTCTCCTTGGCTGTCTTGTAATAATTCAAAAAGAGACACCTTCTCTAGTTATGCTCTGAAGAGTGTGGCTCTCTGGGACCGTTCAGGGTGGAGGATGGCTGGCCAGGGTTTGTCTGGGTGGCATGAATTGGCAGTGTGATGACAAATCAGCTGCTTTGCACATTAGCCTTTCCTGGCAAAGCAGGGAATGATGAGCCTAGTTGACGCTGATAACACTTTTGCCACCTTGCCTAAGGTGCTACCAGGCATAACATTTCGTTCTCATATTAACAGTTTATACTAATATCCATATATGCTGTTAACAAACTTTTAATGAACAGTTCATTGTTCTAGTGAGAGATGTATTTTGTATGATTGATTGATTTGTAGATTTTTCTTTTTTTTCCCTTTTTTTTGTATTCGGGAAGTTGGAATTTCTAGGGTCTTCTGTGTATTTGCATAGCTGTATAAAGAGTATTCTTAAGCAAGTAAAGACAACTTTTTGTGAATTGTAGACCTGTTGTTAATAACACATCTGTGGTGAATTTAAGTGCATTTTTAAACACTGAATGTACATTGCATTTAATGGATATGGTTATTTGCATGTGTGATATCTATCACATTTACTATAGCACTTACTGTACAGACCTCACAGCTTTTACACACAGGCGACTCTCAGAAAGTCATTTGTCATGTATCTCCTTTGATATAATTATGCAATATGAGAAGAAAGAAAAGATTGAACACATGTTGTGAAGTGCTTTGCTACTCCTTGTGACAGGTCTCAGCCTACGCTACACTTCCAAGAACCTCCAGCAAAAGGTCAGCAGCAGCGAAAAAGAGGCAAGTCTGAGAATCGTCCAAGACCAAAGTCAATGGTGAGTCCTTTTTTGCTTGTGGATGTAGATGTGTGTATGGATGAATTGCAGTATGGAGTTGTTTAGCTAGGTGTGTTTTATCTCATTTTTTTTTTTCTTCTTGGAAAAGAAATTATTGAATATGTCTGCAGGTATTTAACAAAATCTCATTTATCCTTTTTTTTTTTTTTTTATTTTGATTTTTTTTTAAATAAAATTAAAGGCTGAATTATTTATCACTTTTAAGATATGGATATGTCAGCTTCTTTCAAATACACATAAATGGCTTGAATTTTTATTTCCATTTTCTTTTACTTTTTTTCCCTGTTTAGTGTAATGTTTCTTGCTCTAGTTACTATGTACAAAAAGTTATTAGTTTATGGAACAAATGATTAATTATAATTTAGAGCCTTTAATTACCATGCCAGCCATATATATAAAAACAGAAATCTGAACAACCTCTTCTTTCCCATTTACACAGATTAATGCAGCTGAGGTAACCCGTGGTGCCGAGTGGGCACGAGCTCAGCGTGGCGGCTCGACCCTCTCCCTGGCAAGTGAAGTCGAGCTGTCTGAGTCGTCCTCACATTCTTCTATAGCCTCCCTTGCCTCTGGCGCTCAAGGACAACATTCGGTTAGGCCCAAGACTAGAACTGGCTCTGTACGTAGACCAAGGGTCAATTCCCAGGGTAGAAAGACAAGTGGATCAGTCTCGAGGTCGACCACGCGTGCCGAACCCACCACTGTGAAGAGGGCGGCAACCCTAGAGGCTGGATCCGAGTCTGAGTAGATAAAGGGACGCGTAGCCCGACCGACACATGATGGTCACATTTGTTAATGTCATTTGAATCAATACATGTTATATAGCATTATGGTCTGTGATGTAGAGAATTATGTGGAGATTAAAGCATGTCTGTGCAATATTCATAGTATTTGCCAGATTGTGCAAGTGATAACTGGAAAGGAGTTCATTTTCCTTTTTTCCCCCCTTTTTTTAATTCCTGTTTCATAGGAAGGCAAGGATAATAAGCTTTATAAATACTTTCAAAGTACATCTTCCTATGAGAGCAGGAACATCAGGCTCTGGTCATATGTATGGCATAGCTGGATCCCATCAGTCTAATCTATGTGATCTTTCTTTTATACTAATCTCGAGTAACAGCTAATCCCCCAAAAATAATGAATACATAGAGAGGGAACGCAGAAGGAAGATTACTAGATATTCTATGGTTTAAGTTGAACTTTCTCGCTTCTTATGAAATGGCTAAAACATTTGATTTAATGAGCATTTCCCCCTCAAAAGAGAGAGCACTGCACTTGTATCATGGTTTCTAGAGTCATGGGATCACTCTCAGATCCTTGTCTCTTGACTTTAGTGTGCATTATGTGAGGATATCATTGTCTGCACAAAGCTATGAAGATTGCACTTGTCTTTATTAAAAGGATAACTTGTATAAAGACTTCAGTACTGTGTATGTGCTAGCTATGAAACTTTCTGCAGTTTTAATTTTTCCCTCTCTCCATTTTTTGTATTAAAAAATCATTTTTGATTTTGTAGCTTATGTTGAAGACATAACCACGAAATTTTAGACTCCACTCTTACAATTCTCTTTTAAGTTCATAATTATGCTTTTCTGTGCTAGCATGTCTCAGCTTAATGTGACTGTCCCAATACTGTGGGTCACACATTTACTTTTACTGGTTATATTGATTTTATGACCAATTTTTTTACATCTGTAATTTTAAGCACATTCATTTATTTCATTTACACTAACTGCACATTGGAACTACATTATTGCTTTGCATTATTTATGAACATTTTTGCATATCAAATAGAAAGACTGTTAATGATATAGGTGCATTTGTATATATGATGTTGTTATGAGCACCATCAGAAAAAAATAATGACTGTATATTATGTAGAATTACTTCAGTGATTATTAGTTATCTTCAGGCATGTAAAGATGATCTGACTGATAGTTATTACTTCAGGCGGTGATAATGAATATATAAAGGTAGATAGAGTCGTTTTTAGGACCAATATCATGAACGCTTGGCGATATGACTGATATGCATGGTGGCAGAGACAAAGATTGCCACATCAAACACCTGGGCATGTCACCCTTGGTTTTATCAGTGTAGTAATATAGGTGTCCTAATACCCTGCTCACGTAGGCTTGGCAGATCAAATTCTGGAAGCTTTTCTTGGTTCAGTATGATCTCTTCCTAGATTTTAAAAAGTAAATGAGAAAAAAAAATATTTTGTATGTACAGGCACAGCAGAAGGCAATGAGAGGAAGTCGTAGGAGTGGCACTGAACCAAGGAAAACTCCTTTGCTTCAAATAGAGATTGTCCTCTACCTCGAATGAGCAGCATTCTTGTTTTCTATTTAGCTTGAAGGATGTTTAGGATGTAATTTGTAC